GTGGCCACCCAGCAGCTGCTCAGGGTCAAAGAGGTACATAAGCCAAGTCCTTACTGCCTGGCCAAAGGTGACCCGCTGTGAAAAAGGCTTGTGCCCTTTGTGACTCTTTGTAAAGTGTAAAAAACAAAAAAACAAAAAAAAAAAAAAACACCACACATCTGAAATGCTTCTTTTCAGTTTGTTCTTGAAAGTTCAGATCTGGTATTCTCTTTTTTTTTTTTTTTTTTTTTTTTTTTTTATTTTTCCTATGTTTGTTTCTATGGGTGAGTAGAGAACTAATTCTTATCTATGATCCGCCACAAACCGAAGCAAACCATGCCAGACAGTATGTGACTTTTTTAATATTGAGATCGTTATAAATCCTGTGCTTTTCTGCCTGCTTACTTCAAGTGTTCTTTACTCACTGGGAAGAAATGTTGGCTTTGCCAAACTTCAGTACTTCCAGCACTACAACAGAGTATTGCTAAATTTATCAACAAAACCAAAGAAAGATTTGCCTGTGTTTTTTAATCCTATATACGGTACATCTATTGAGTTCAGTAGGCAAATACAGAGATATTTATGCTGCCTTTGTATCTTAGATAAAAGAAACAACAGCTACAAAAACCTGTTAAAGTTAACAGGCTCCTGAAGGTTTTGTTTAGCTTTGCTTATACAGCAACGAGGGGCAAAATCCTGAAATACTCTATCCAGGCAAAAATATTTGGACGGTAAAGAGTCACTCTCAGAACTGCATTTCATACCAATCGCCATCAGCTTTTTTTCTGACCCAGCCATGCCTTTCTCCTATGGCTAAAGACAATAAAATGTAGCTTAACTGACATGACCTAAATCAAATCTACAGTCAAATCAAATCTTCATTTCCAGAGAATTTTTCCAAAGGCTTACATTAAGGCAACTTGCAACACAGGCTTAACAGAGATCATTCTTAAATCTTTTGATATGTCACACTGTAAACGGTTTATCGTGTCTACAGCCGACACTGACCCCATTCAGTTTTGCCAGGGAAATGGCAACACTGTGATACATTTGAGATTTTAATTCATGCTAGTGTACCAATGATACGGTAATAGCACAAAAGAAGAAAGCGATGAATCACTAGCTGAGGATTTTCAATGAGAAAATATTGTAAATTAAGGACAGTATTTTCAGAATGAACAAGATTTCCAAAGATGAACAATATAGAAATCTAAAATAAACATTGTGGCACTCAACTTGAAAGACACTACTAGCTGTTTTGTCTTGGCTAATGGCTAAGAGAAGGAGACAGATTAGAGGTGGGGAGGGCGAAATCACACAGGCTTTGATTAATCAGAGCTGCCTACCCACATTTGCCTAGGCAAGCAGAATTAAAACCATCATGTAAGTTGTAGCGCCAGATCTCAGAGACTGCTGTGGAAATAACGTGTCCTGACATTTTTAGAGTTAAAATGATAGGAATGAGAGGAGCATTTTGTCATTAGAACTCCTCTGGTCATTCACAGAGGATGCGACAGCTCTACTTTGCTCGAGGAGAAAGAGTTAAATCACTCAGAGCTATTACATCCTGTCTGCTGCTTGGCGGGACCACATACTGTGACAGCTGCAAGCTTTACATCCTCTACAGACTGACATTTTACACACATAACCAGTGCATCACATTGTTCAGCTTGTTTTCTCTTTTAGCCTTAGCAATTAAAAAGGCAGCACATTCCCCACTAAGAGGTGTGCCAGCCCCTCTCTTTTGCCTTTATGACTAAACAGCAAAACTTTATCTTTTCATTGAGAAAGGTTCTCTAGATTTCATTTTATTACTGAGAGCATCAGTACATGCTGTATGTCTTTTTTACGTTGAACAGCTTTCTTTTGTTGCACCTGGGATTCTTTTCATTTGTTTGTTTCTTATTCCTAATTGGGACACAGCACAATACATTTGCACAGTTCAGACCACACCTGAACAAGTCTATAGCTCTTCCAGACATCCTATCTGATACAAACTTTAAGTAAGGATCCATTATACACATTTATGTCACGCTGCCCATCAGTGCTTCCACTGCTGCCTTGGTATAAACAAAAAAGACAAATGGAAAAGGTTAGTCTAGGCCACAGTATAAACCTGTATCAAAAAATAAGAAATTCTACATTAATGAGGCATTCTATTGCTCCAAAACTATCTCTGCGGTAACATTTTGATCTACCAATAGTATTTAAAAAGCATCAGGGCATCTCCTGTCAGTACTGGACAGTCTTTCCCATTTTCTGTATCTCCCATTTTACAGTCCCATCCTCTGCCCCTTTCTTATTCCATGCTCACTGTAAATAAAGGTGGATTTCAAGGGAGTTTAACTGAGGGACAACCTGATTTTCTGTTTAGGACAAGCACCTACAGATTCCCTTGGCTTCTAGTATTTCTTCATCATTTCATGACCTTACTTACCAATTCCTATTATCTCTCAGAAAGCATGGGGCAGGAAGCAGCCAGCCAGTTACTTAAATCTCAGGGGAACAAAAAAGTGGCCAGCACTGCTCTATCTCTATCTGGGTTCCAAACTGTCCAAGAGTTCTACAATGCCTCATTATCCTTCAGCATGCTTTTTTCTCTACTCTATTTCTCCATTTACACATTGGTAAGTAATACATTCATTGTGTCACTAAACAAAGCTACTGACCTCAGGAGGACAGAATTGCCAGGGAATAGCCAGCACCCACATTTCAGATTACAGCAGAGAACAATCTCATCACACCAACAAGTTGTGTACATGTTATCAGCTAGTTTCTGAAGTTGCACATAGACCTACCAAATCTTGCACCTGGAACTAGAGACTCTTCATGTTAGCCCTCACACAGACACGGTACACAGCATTACAGCATCTCCCCACTCACCAGATGGCTTTCACTGGTTGATGCCTTAATCTATTGGCCAGCTGTACCTCCAGCTTGGGGGAGAAAGGCATCACTGCTAGAATTCAGGCAAACGATGTACTACCTTCCAGGGCTCTAACACTTCCAAGTGGCCATGCTAGAAGACACTCCTCTGCTGTGTCCCACTGTTCAGTTATTGCCATCACTGGTTCTCATTATCAGATGCTGTCCTCATCATAGTTTGAGGCAAACTTGTGTCCACCAAGAGCAAACTAAGAGGTGCAGAGGGCATTATGCATGACTGCATTACAATATCCTTGAGTCACAGAGAGCTTCTCGCTGGCTGTCTGAGCCAAACTGATTCAGATCAAGAGTCTACTTAATCTCAGAAAGCTATCCCCAGTGTGGCTATATGGGACAGCTCAAGCACAGTAATATCAGGGCAAGCATGCAGGATACTTGCCCTCGATATTTTATGTATTTCCTCAGCACATCATCAGGTTTAGTTTCTACTGAAAGCAATGTGTGATGCAAAGTAAGATATAGTATGTGGGGAGGATCATAGGGCTCACTTTAGAAACACACGGCTAATCTGAATAAAATGCTTCTATAGTTGCATAGATATAGAAAAGATAGAGAAAATCACAGTATTTTTTCCAGTTTCTCCTTGAACCCATCTAGCCTTTTTGAAACCACGGCATTCTTCAGAAATGTATTCTACCAATTTCCTTCCTGCTGTGTGATGTATGACCTGAATTACTTTTTTTTTTTTTTTTTTTTTTTTTCCATTTTGTACCTGGCCCTTGAGCAGTCACATTTGAAGCCTCTCAAATCTTATACTGCCAAAGAAGGCAAAAAGTTAACCCCCATTCAAATATCTCCTATGATTTAGGAGACCTCTACCTATTCTGTTACCTGCAACTTTTCTTTTTCCCAGGCTGAAATACACACCACATAAAGTCTTCCTAATATGGAAGCTGTCTGTATGGCTCATCATTCCCATTACTATTCTCTGGACATTTTCAGTGTTAACATAACCCTATGAAAAAAGGTGCTGCCAAATCATGACTTATATAGTAGTATAAAGCAGTGTATGCTTGCTGTATCACACTCTATTCCTCTCCAAGCAGTTTTTAACATTCGGTTAACATTAATGCCTCTTGACGTTTGCCTTCTTACTCAGCACTAACCTAAATGCTTTCATGAAACCTTCTGTCATTACCCCAAAACCTTGCTCCTGATTGGCAATACCACAACTTCACCCTAAAAATAAACTGTGGCTGTAAGTTTTTCTTTTTGTTTGTTTGTTTTTTAAGTCTGTAATAACTGGAATAATATCAAATGCAATACAGGCATCATTTTTATAGATGCACATGAGCACAAGAAAAGCTGCTGTTAACAACTACGTTGTTCTTCAAGAAGTCTCTTATATGCTCATTTCTTGCTACACTTTAAAGTCATCAACTAATGATCAAACTCCTAATCCTAGTCTCCTGGAATTTTAGACATTTAGTTTAGTATCAGTCTCATTTTTCCTTAATCCATGCTTCTGGCAAATGCTGTGCCCTGCTTAAGTCTTTCCTAGGATTTTCACACCCAGTTTGCAATACATTGTAAATGAAGATGAGGTATGGCTTTTTATAGATTGTAGAATGGCTCAGGTCAGGACTGACCTCAAGGATCGTTAAGCTCCAACCCCCCTGCCACTGGCAGGTGCCAATCTCTGTATCCAATACAAGACCAGGCTGCCCAGGGTCCCATCCAACCTTTAATAGATATGTAACATCTATTTCTGGCAGACTAGAGCAATCAAATTATAAGAAAAGAAAAATATTCTGAACATTAAGCAATGTTTTTTTTTCCCCTTGTGATCTTTTTCCTTTTTATTGCAAAGATTTTAATCCCAGGTTTTTAAATACCTATTTGTGTATAGGTACACACCCACGCTGCTCTTCCTCCCATCTTCTCCCCCACTGAAGTAAGGAATGATTCAAAACCAAAAAAGCACTGTTCAAACACAGAGCATGGTTAACCTGGCATTACTGCTAACACTGGCCTCTCTACCTCCATTACTTGCATGCACTGCTGAAGTAAGTACAGGAGTACGCCTGCAGTCTCGGTGTGTTTTGATTTATTAAATAAATAAAGGAAAAACATACCTTCAGTACAGTCCACTGCTCTACAACAATAGCATCATAGCCCTGCATGATTTTATTGTCTTCCACAGCAACATCTTCAAAGAGAAATACTCCATCCATTGTTCCATGCAAGGAATCTGTGGAAACACAGTGTTATGCATAAGCTCTGTGAGAAACACCCCATGTGTAGCGAGGCATTTTAATTTAGTAATAGCCAGTTCTTTCAAGCATATTAATACCATGTGCTTGGAAACACATTTTCCTCTGAAAGTCCAACTGCAACAAATGTCTGAGACAAACATATTCAGCAGTTTCTAAAAGCAACCCTCTCCATCCACCATTATGCCAGAGTTTATCCTCAAAAAACACAGCTCTTGCATTTTGAGGTGTCAGAATAAGTTCAGTCCTTTTCACCAACCTGAAGTTGTGCACATGCCTTATGGGCTGAAGACCACATATCATGTTGCATCAACTTTTGAAGGGTTTCTGTAAGTACAATGAATGTGTACCTATGCATTCATCTATTCAAGTCAGAACCCTATTTATGGAACAGGTATTGCAGATACGATGGTCTGTGTGGGCTAAGGATGCTCTGGCATATCTAAATGATGTAAAAGAAAAGATACATTCATAACTATTTCATTAACTTATGAAGGCTTTCTGACCATCTGGTTTACTAACTGTTCTCATTTATATTCCCAGCATGTTCAGCCTTTTTTCAGATTAAACACACTATTAAAGTTACTTCAGCAGCACCTTCCCCTTGAACTTAGCTGTATATTTTACTATCAGCAGTCTCCCCCAGAGGCAAGCATTCAGTTTTGTCAGCTCCACGACACAAGAGTGCAACTAATTGAAAAAATACCCTTCCTTGCTAAAATAAATTATGAAACAGCTGTCCATAAAATATACTACATAACAGTTCTGTACTCTTTATGAACACCAAGAACTCTCACACTGTCACAAGCATGCTTCTCATCCTACCCCTCAGATTTAAAGAATACACTGGCACTGTACAACCAACTATGAAAACCTTGCTCCTTCACCTGCCTAAATGCAATAGTATTTTATACAACAGTTTATTTGTATTTTTAGGAAAATTCTACTCCTTGCACCACATAGGCTGAACCAACAGATCCCTGGACTGACTTCGCAGGCAAGCCTGCTCAGCCATTTCAGCAGGTCTTCCTACCCTCCACAGTGGATGTTGGGAGGCCAAGAAACGCTGGCAGGAAGGCATCACTGCCTCCACAGGAAAACAATCAATTTTCACAAAGACCGAGTAAAGATCAAGGTTTCTTACCTCTTGTATGCACAATCCCAAACAGACTTGATAAGATCTAAACTCTGTTTATTGCTCAGAAATGCAAAGCTCACAACAAACTAAGCTACTACAGTTGAAGGCTCCTGTCTACAAATATATACAGCAAGACTGATATTTCCAGAGCATTTGCACATTCCTTTGTTACCTGCATAGTCCACTACTCTTCTGCTGAAGTTTCTACTAAGTCACAAATAAGCAGATGCAAAAAACTCACTGCTAATATAAAACTGGATTATTTTTTTTTCCAGTTCAGCTGAGTAGCAAACCACTTAATAGCAACTTTCTTTGAGATTCTTTTAGGAGTCTCAAATAAGTAGAAAAACACTGTTTACCTACTGACAGTCTCCACAGATTACTTTCCTGCCATTTAGACTAGAAAGAAGGAAGGAGATTACTCATCACTACAGTGAGCCATTATTATACATTGCTCCAAGGAGGAAAAACTAGACTACAAAGCAGTAGTCCCTGTCTTCTAGATAGAGGTCTGAGTAAGGTGAAATAATAGAGAAAATCACTAAAGCAGCTGGTTACAAGTTAGAAAACATAGGGAGAACATGCTTGTCACATACACATAGGTACAAGATTCCATTATTATATTTTATTCGTAAGTGGTACTTGTTAGGTCCTACATTTCAAAGTGAGAACCAATTCAACTTCTGTACAGTACATCATATTCCAACACACAGACCTCCACCCAAATCCATTTTAGGATACACAGCATATAAATAGCCCTTTACTTTAATCGTGCAGGTTTCATAGAACAACAGCACTGAGGGCTGAAAGCAGAATCCCATGCATCACAACTATACAGAGGCATCTTGAATTTCCAAGGCAAGCTTCATACATAATCAGATTACTGCTAGTGCATCGTGAATTCTGCTGATGAATTTCACTGTCACACTGTTGGCACAACTGCAGCTTGAGCTCTGCCCACACATTTGCCAGCAAATTAGTAAGTGATCAAAACACAATCAGCATGCGTGTGTTTACACTCTCTCATAAATTATCCTTTATGTTTCATTCTGCTGTGCATTCCACTTGCACAGTTCAGAGCTTACACATATGTGAACATTATGGCACATATGTAATGTTTTAGAAACGAATAGATGAGCTTGTGAGACCCTACAGGGTGCAGATAAACTTAACTGCACCTCTTTGTTGAATGTACAATGATTAAACAATGATTATTGTCGAAGGCTACATCTAGTCCATCCTAAAACCTGTTAATTTTTTGGCAAGGAAAGAACCTGACAGAAAATGAGAAAAGCAGAAGGGGAAAACTTATGAGAGAAAGACAGCTGCTGCATACTGGTGTCTGTTCGAAACAGTGATAATAGTGGAAAACTCCATAAGATAAACTGCTTAATGGTATTCATTAAGATCACCCCTTAAACATAACTGAGCCTCCGCTCTACCAGCTCTTCAACTTTCATGCCATAACTATGTCTGCCAATTCGTACACCTTTGCAGCACATTCTTCCTTTTACAGGCGGAAAAGGGAGGTAAAGGAAAGAAATAACTGGAAGAAATAGAAAAGAATAATCAGATCATGAATTTAATCCCGTGTGAAGCATCTGGTATGCTAAGAATAAACAGGAGACAGAATATCAGAAAGGGAGCTAAAGGCATCTTAATTTGGAGAGAAGGAACATATAACTCATGCTACAGTGTCAGGATTAGCAGGAATTTTAGGGAACCTCTCACACAGGTGTGGAAGGGCAAAGAGTTGGACAGACAAACTGAGTCTACCTGCAACACCTTTGTCCCTCAGATGTTGTAAAGTCTGCAGCAACTTAGGCAATAGTCATGTAGGATTCACATCATCTTACAGTACAGATTTATGATAGAGATGCCTACAGCTGAATTTGTTATCCAAGGCTCTCTTTTACAACTGATGGGAAAAAAAATAAAAGCATTACTTCGTACAGGACCCAATTTCATAGAATCATGGAATAAGCTGCATGGATCTGCAGTTCGGCTTCCTGCTCAAATCAGTTTCAACGCAAAGTAGAGCAGATTGCTCAGGACTTTATCCAGTTGTGTCTTGAAAATTTCCAAGCATGAAGACTGCACAACTTCACAGGCAACCTCTTACAAAGCTTGTCTGTTTCTACGCTGAAAACATTTTCCCTTATATCCAACCTCTCATTTCAGTTTATACACATTCTTTCTCATCCTCCTGCCCAGAGCTCAGCCAAGGGGTAATATCCGTATTATTCGTAAGCTCCTTCAGTCCCAGCTGTCCCATAGGACAAGGGCTCCAGCTCCTGACAGTGATGTTCTGCTAAACCAACCTCAGTTTGTAAGCATGTTCCTTGCTCCTTGTGGGGAAGTGTCCAAAACTGGACACAGTATGTCGTGTAGAGGCAGCCTTAATGAGTGTCAAATAAGGGACGATAATCGCTTTCTTTTAATTACTGGCAATACCCTCGTCAATACAGCTGATAGGCTGTTTTCCTTCTCTATGGCTATGGCATATTGTTGATTCATGGTCAGCATGGCACCCACCAACACTGCCACGGTTTTTTCAACAGAGCTGCTAACTAGACAGGCAGTCTCTATCCCGCATGTGTGCAAGGATCACCACCTTCACAGAGGCAGGACATCTGTCCTCAATGAATTTCAAAAGCCTCCTGCTGGCCTGTTATTCCAGCCTGTCCAAACAGCAGCCCAACCCTGATGCACATTAACTGCACCTTGAATATGATATCATCTTCAAACTTAATAATAGCCCTCTCCCCGCCTCTTGTGCACCACCAATAAAGATGTTAAAACACAACCCAGTCCAGGACAGAAGTCTGTGGTATTCTTTTTGTTAGTCCAGGTAAAGTATGACCTACTAACTACTATTCTCTAAGTGCAGCCATGTAACCAGCTTTTTTTACTTGTCTAGTCACCCTTCATTATAGGCTGAAAAATATTGTGGGATCCAGTGTCAAACTTCCTTCCTGAAGACACCCAGCACGACATCCAATGCTTTCCCTTCATCCACAAATCTAATCATTTTATCACAGAAGGTAATATGTTTGGTGAAGTATGATTTACTTGTTAAATCCATGCTGACTGTTCACAACAGGTTTCCTCCATGTGTCCAGAAACATGTTTCAATAGGATTCACTCAGTGAATTTTCCAGGGGCTGAGGTGTGGCTGATCACCCTGTTGTTTCCTGGATTGTCCCTTTGGTCTTCTAGAAGACGGGTGCAACCTTTGTCTTTGTCTGATATTGGAGAACTCCTCTGATCTCCATGACCTTTCAAAGATGATTAACAGCAGCCTCATTACCACATCAGCCAGCTCCCCCAGCATCCCTGGAGCAATCCCCATCTTGATCTTCATCCACTCCTGCTGGTCCTCTGCCTTCTTGAATCTCAACTCTGAACTCAGATATCTGGGAGAACACGCTAATGAAGACTGAGTCAAAGGAGTCACTAAGTATTTCTGCCCTTCCGAGGTCTGCTACCACATACTCCATTGCACCTACCTCTTTTATATGTCTGAAGTGAGACAAGGTGGATCACAACACAAACAATATTGGTCTAGATCTAGACCTCCACCAATTATAATGGCAGTTTTTGGTAACAATACATGCAGACACACCTGCAAGGCAGATTCCTCTGTATATCTGGATGAATCTTAACTAACCTACCTACAAAGATCAGCCATCCAAAGCTTAGATGGTGAACTGGCCTTTCCATTTTTCACTGCTTCTCACATAAAGTATTTTTCTCTGATTCTAATGCAGTTGTATTCCTTTTTGGCAATCTCTTGTCTAACAAGATTAATCTACCAGAACTTAGCTTAGCCTATTAAATGGTCTTTAATAATTCCAAATATTAGTTAACCTGCAAGAAAGCAGTAGTTAAAGCAGTAAAACAAGCCATTCTGACTTAGCAGTCTTTACTCTTGAAATAACATAACTTCACTCTTAATAAAAAAAAGCCTCCAAACAAAGGTTACAATCATTGTCCCTCCTCTGAAAATGTTCTATTACCACTGCATTTTTTTTATTAAGGTATCCCACTGTGCACAAAAAAGCTATTTTCACTGGTTGTATAAATATTTGATGTAGCTCTGTTGACAAAAAGCTATTTTGATGTTCTTCCTTCTGATTTACAAGAATGGGAAAAGATTTCTTCCCTTACCATGACAGCTCTTCTAGTGCGCAACTACTTTCACTGTGTTGTCTGAACTACAAATTCCCCTCATCTAGAAAAGTAACCTTTACGCTGCTGTTGTTCTCAAAAAGAAAACAAGATATCTGAGGCTTTATGTCACGTGATCTGAATGTTGGCCTTTGCTTCACATTTATATTCCTCTCTCCCTCTGAACCTTTTCACCTTGAGTACACACAGAGAAAATAATTCCATATGGATGATAAAAATACCAGCCATCTCTGTGGATAAGGTGAATAAAATTGGCCAAATGCATCACTGGTTCATTTCTGTCAGCAGCAGTGCAAATATAACAGAGGTAATCCATTTGGCCCTTCAAAAACCCAACTAATTTCCTTTTACAAGCAACTCATCTTTTGTTTCATTTGCTTGCTTTGTCTTAAAGTCTTGTCAATGTTTCATAGATGGTTAGCTGGCTTTATGCAAGTTTGAAAGCCCAGAAATTCAGTCAGTAGAAGAACAAATATCAAATGTTTAAAGAACTGCAGTTCAAAATGATTGAAGACAACCAAACTTATAATTACTCTGTTAAGGCATGGAAGTACAACCTTAGCTTTCAGTCTTTCTCCCTTCCCATCTGCAACTACTCTCATATTGCTGACTGAAGACTTGTTGTAAGAAAGAAGCTGATCTCATCTGTTAGATCTTTTCCATTTTCACTGTTACTCACTTGTACCTTGCTCTACTTCTCACTGGAAGAGCGAATGGGTGAAGTCCTATGATCACTTCAGATCATTAGACAGTATCAGTTACACCTGGGTTTACAAGGAGTATTAGTAATGACAAGATACATGGTGTATCTCTCAACAGTTTATGAAGTGTAATTTGCAATTTTATTACATTTCTGCTTGTTATTTTCTGGTATGATGAGCAAAAAGAAACAGCTGCTATCAGTGAATTTTAAAATTCTTTTACATACAAATTATTAAACTGTTGGCAGAAGAAAGAAAAATTCATATATGCTAACAATCTGGAAATTTTCACTTGATTGGGCATTCCAAGGACAAGAGAGAGAAGAAGATAATAACCCTGCTTTTAAGTCTAATAAGCAAAGTAATGAATTCATATTTTAAGGCAAAGAGAAAAATCAGTTCCCAGTGCAAAGAAATTTATTATAACCAATTAAAGAAAATATGCTAATATTACCTTGATTTGGAAAAGGATTAATCAGTGAATACAGAGATCAGCTATAAAGAGCTGGACAGGCTGCATTAAAAGACTATAACAACAAGAAGCCCTGAGCCTCTTCCTTCTTCCCACCTTCCTGGGTTGTTTCATATGGGCTGGTATAAGACTGAAAAATATCCATCGCTTTGCAGCATAGGAAAAATTTAGGATTTAAAATCATAAATATTTAATTACAACTGGGATCACCTTATGGATGTTCTTATTATATATTTTTCTAACAGCGTGGTTTCAGTCATGACAGTTTACCTTAACTGTACTGATGCCCTTTTAAAAACTTTAATTTAGAGCTTTGCTGACTACTAAAATTTCCTGTAACAGCAAAATGATAACAAAAATGATTATCAACTGCTCATCTTCAAGCTCTAATTTAACTTAATCCTGAATCTGTACACTTTCATATAAAACTGTCCTGTTTGTGTAGAAACTTTATTGCCATCCCATTTGAATTTTATCTGTGTCTGTAGGCAGTTATCTGGTACTCCTCATTGTGGTATCCAAGTACATGAACTTCCCTCAGTCCTCTGTTATATAAATGAACTTTGGAAGTTTAAATAACAGAAAAATGCTGTGTTTAAAACATTTTAGAGTACACTGATAAGCAGTTTTTATTAAAGAAAACACTAAGCCTTATATAGCCAATTAGATTTGGCTCTACGAGTTGCAATTTATACACATAAAGTAATTGACTATGTTTTTAAATAAGTTAACTAGCAATTACAAGGCTTTCCAGGAAGCTGTATTATGAAAGCATTCAATCAACTGAACTTTAGACCTTCAATTTTTGCTACTTGCTGCAAAATGAAAAATCAGAATTGTTATCCCAATTGACTTTCACCACAACCAACTGAGTTTTATCACAGGCCACGGAACTCTGATTGACAGCAAAATGGGAAGAAGATGCTCTGGAAGCAGTTTTACAGTTCTGTGGCACAAACCCATGAAATTTAGTAGCAGATCCCAGCCTACAGATTACCACATCCTTTTGGAGAAACAAACCAAAATTAGGTGAAAGACTCATAGCACTCACAGGATTTGGGAATGAGAATTTTGATGCATACTAGTGTAGCACTGTAACGCAATGGAAAGCACAGCAATGAAAGCCCCGTGCTGCAGCAAGTAAGGATATGGTCAAATGCAGCAGCCACGGACACAGAAAGAATCTGCGTACCCTTGGAAGGCCTCAGGTACACATGGATCTCCAGTGAGATACCCTCACCTCCACTGCCAACTCTTAAACGATGTGTGAAGAGGTGGATCCTGGCTCCAGCCCTTCCACTCACTCAGGTGCACTGCTTGCCCCTGAGCTTCCCTGAGTTGGCCCTGCCTTCCCACCAGGTTTTCAGTCTCTCTTTCAGGCTGCTGAAAAAGCAACTAGTCACCTAATTTTCCAATAAACTTAATATGGTTATAACTTCAATATTTTTATTTTTAAGCATTTCCCTTGATTTGTTCTCATGGTCCCTTGGTTATGTCTCTGAAATCCCTATTATGCACCATAATTCTTTTTGTGCAACAAGCTTCACTTCAGAGTCACCAAGGGAGCGAGCAGTGCAGTACAGATTGGCTACAGTATTAAGCTGAATTCAGTGCTATTCACAACATGCAAAAAGAGAAGGCAATTTGATAAAAATACTGTGCCATCAAGATGCAAATGTCCTCTGGGGGTAGGCACTAGTCAGATAAAACTGGCGCACTGTCATACCTTTAATTTAAGTATCCTGCTTTACTATCTTAATAATTCAATTCAGTTCACTTGGTACTGTTTATTAAGTCTATGTATTTCTGCAGTTACAGATATGTCTCCATTATGTTTATAAAATACAACTCACGATCTCAGCTTGCTTTATACAAATGCCAAAATATTTTCTGTATACTTTCATTCCACTTCACTGAAAAAGGCTGATCTAAAACAAATATTTCCCAAGATCATATTAAAGCTTGTTTAATGTCTTCTCCCAAATGTCTTCTCTTGAAAGATAATGACCTCTATTAGCGGAGAAAGGAAAATAATCACAACATAATATGCTCTCTGTAATTTCCATACCATTTACCATTCCAAGGCTGAAGATGGCGTTCACCAATGAGCCTCCTTTCCTGAAGTGATCTGTCATATGCTCCAGCCAATTTGCTTCCAAGCTGTTGACAGTCTGCCCATTCCTGGAGATCCTCATAGGGATAGTCACCGTATAGTACTGGCTGCATCTCTGTGGAGTTTTGGGCTTGTTGAAGAGAGTGAAGATCTCTGTCTCTACCAAAAAGTAAAAATGAAGTAATGCAACAACCATATTATGACACTTCAGCTAAGACAATACTGTTTGCCCACAGCCTTTCACACTACACAAATGCAATACTTGGGACATGCTTTTCTTTTTATGACATTTCTGTGCTGCACAACAGAGTAAGGTCTCGAAATCCATCACAGTATTTTGATTGTTGTTTCAGTATTTGTTACTAATAATGGATTCACTGTTGACGATAAAAAAATTACAGATATTCATACTTGCAACCCTTCTACAAGTAACAAAAGCAATTAAACTCCACAAACTGCATTAAGTACTGCAGAAGTCACTAACCATTAACACAGAACACTTATTTTTTCTACTCAATGCATTTTAAAAGAGGTATGACTGAGGACAGTTCAAATGCTGTTGCAAATTTAGAAGAAGCAGCATTCAATAGATCATGACCATTAAACAAAAGTATTAAATAACTTGGTTTGATAACGCAGTGGCATGGAACCAGCAAGCAGCAGATGCATCTAAAGAATGCAATGAATCATAAATACAGAGACAATGCTAGCTGGTTAGTTGATTTACTCTGGGTCTGAGCCAAGGTGAGACAGACACAAGAGTAAAAGAATAACGAAAGCAGCACTGTTCATGGTCTCAAAAATGAGACTAGAATCTGTTCTGTATCTCCTCTTGTCATTACAAAAAGTCACTGCTGACAGCAAAGCTGGGGTTTCACAGCTCTGAAGCTGGAAGTAAATTTAAGTGCAGATTGACTATTGACTTCCAAGAGCCAAAAAAAATCTCTTCAAATAAACATAAAAAGCAAAAACCTTTGATTAAATCTATTCACCCAGCGAGCTCCTCATGTTTCCAAGTTATTATATTGTAATCTCAAGTATTAAAGAAAGTAATGTCACGGGAAATGTTAAGACTGCTCTCTAACAGAAATGTCCCTGAGCACGAAGCGTGTAAAATGAAAAAGATGTTAGAAAGCAGATCAGGAGCAGGCTGGCAGCACTTGAAGAAGAGACCAGGAAGCTTGCTATATAACCAAACATTCGAAAGAGACTTAATGATCTCAGATGTGAACAATGGTTAAAACAGACCAAAAGGGAGTAATTACCACAAATCTTCTGGCAGTTTACCACTTAACTAGAAAAAACAAAATGATAATTATCCTAACTTAAAAGAGGATACACAGAAAAATTCTACGTCCATTTTGATCCTGACTCCCAAAACAGACTCATGTTGGAGATCTTTCTGGTGTGTATGAAGACATCACACTAAAAACAGCACACCATGGAAGTGGAAATCCAGAGGGGGAAGATGATTTGGATTTGACATTGGGCTGCTAAAAATGTTCATTTAAATATGTGTGGGAATCTTTCAGTGTCTGACTTGGTTTTGTAATTGTCATTACACCGGTCCTAACCACTGTTCCAATTATTACAGCCAACAGCTTTCACCAGGCAGCCTGTCTGCTCAAACTTGGACAAAGATACCTTCAGTTTACTTCTAAATAACAGTACACTTGCAGTACATGTGCCTTGTTTACAGGCAAAGCATTTTTAACAGTGTTTTGAGAGCCCTTTAATAAAGGGCAAAGTAGATGAGCGTTACAAAATACTGAACAACAAAATATCACAAAAATAACACCTGAAAAGTGTTAAACCTAAATTGAACAAAATTAAGATTCCACAAATGGAAAAAAGTTTAATGCAGGGAAGAAAGAGCTTAAGAAAGATCACTTCCTATGGAACAAGTAGTGTAACATGAAAAAAAGAAACAAAAACACCTGGTACTTTCTACCTTCATGCTCTCAAGGAAGGATGCAGAATGATGCCAAAGACTGAAATACATTTTCCACGAGAGGAAAAGGGAGTGCTCGAATAATAAAAAGCCATACAAGAGTAATACAGAAATCAGCAATGTTGTACAGGCAATAGATATGGGAAATCCTACTGTAAGTGAGCTACTTCATTTTCTGTCACAAAAAAGTGCCATCTCAGAAAGTATCGGCTTCATTCACCAAGAAAGAAAAATGCACTAGAAGTAAATAGAGGAGAAAAACACTCAGAAATAAAAGATAAATATGGAAACTAAACACACTTTTTAAAATAAAACCCCTTATCTGGCAAAACTGCAGCTGTAATAAAATCCTGTGCTGTTTTAGATAAATATTAAGGAAGATTTCAGGTGATCAGCCTTATATTATGCAGAAATACTAAGAACATAGTTACTTGCAACAGAAGATTTCCATCATCAAAAAGATAATAGCTATGTTAACTCTCTCAAGGACAGCACACATGAAAACAGAAAGTACTGGTCTGGTTTGAGACAGAGATATCTAATTTAGAACTATAAAATTTAGAGGGCTTCTATGATGTATGAGATTCTAGAATAACATGGAAGAAATGATTCAGCTAATACAAATGCTTTGACCTAATCCAGATGCCTCCTTGCCCAACAAAAACTGAAAAAGCATAATGAAAAGTTATTTGAGAATGATACAAATCTGATGACAAAAACCTAATTACACAGAAATGCAATGGAAACCAAGACAATAGTCCAAGTCCAAATAGTCCAAGAATGCAAAGTCATTCTCAGTCTTACATTACAAAATCCCCAAAGGGCCAAGAGTGTGTGACTGCATCTACGTAAAATATAAAGAATGGTGATAAATTAAAGTCAAGGACAGCACCAGCTCAAAGGAATGTGGATGGAATTTCCTTACACAGATTTATAACTTGTAAGGAAAGTAAGCAAAGCAGTGAGAGAAGTAAGTGTACACCGCATCGTCTAGGGTGTAGGCAAGCAGAGGAAATAAAGGTATTTGAAGATTTAAAACTGAAAACGGGGCAAGAATCTTTTTTTCTGATGACTTTTGATTTTCTAAGCTACTCTGGCCTATGTCCCATTTTAAACAACAATTTCTGGATATACTTGATATAAATATCAAGTATTACAACAAATACAGAAATGAACGATTTCAGCAGAACAGCAGGGAAAATAAGTCTTTACACTCAGGCACAGGAACAGGCCATAACACAGCTGTACCTAGTTATATCAGCTCTTCAGCTGCCACCTGACTTACACTCAGTCGCTGTAAACTGTGTAACTATGCTGAAATTGGGTTACGTGGTGCATTTGCTGCACCCATTCTTTGCTATCACAGAGGAAAGTCCCTCTCCTTGCCTGTACCCCTGAAGGAGCAGGAAACATAATTGGTTTTTATGTATTAGAGGTCACAGCAATACTTACTGTCAGTAAGTGGTTTTGAGCATCGTGCTGGCGTTTCATTCTCTGCAATTCCATTCTGTGTGTCTGGCGCTTCTCTCCCACCTGGGTGCTCGTGTTGTTCTTCACTGCCCTTTGCAGATTTGCAATTGGGCTCCTCAGCAGCTTGTCCTTCACCCTTCCTCCCTTCCCTGGATGTGGCACATTGGTCAGCATTCCCCTCACCTGGTGCTGGAGTACTGCATCCATTAATGCCATCTATTTTCTCGCCATCCAGTGAAGCGTGATCCTCAGGGCAATTTGAAACGTTTTTATTATCTCTGGATTGCACAGAGTTGTTACTGGCAGGTGTCAGAGAGGAGCTGACAAGGCAGTTCTTTTGGGAATGGTACTGAGGTATAATTCCAACAAATTTCAAGCCTTGACTTGCTGCATCTTGAATCTACAAGTCAAAGAAGATTACATTTTAACCTTCAAGCTGTCTTAGCTAAATAGAAATACAGGAAATAACACCCTTCAAGGGAGCTATAGTATATCATTTTGCTACATTTGTCCACTACCAGAGGAAATTGCCATGCTACATTTACATAAAAAGTTAAATTCTAGTGAAGCAGGATGAAAAGTCCCTTAAATTGTCTGCAGTAATGTGAAATTGCATGCACATGTGCACACACAGGGAGGAAAGAAAATGCCCACATATTTCTTCAAAAAGCCTTTGTCTGAACCATTTATTCTGAATTACCAGAGGTGGTATTACTCACATGAAGTTTTAGTTTCAATCTTATGCAGTCACTCAATATTACACCTTCTGCTGTATTAGGCACGTGATTATGACATTTATGCAAGGAAAAGGTTATTAATTCTCTCTGTAATATGCACCATCATAACAACAGTTGTTGTTTTTCCTATTTTGGATTCAGACACAAATGGCAGGCTTTCACATAATGAGTACATAAAAGCAAAGTTATTTTAATACACTGTACTTGGGGAGACACAGAACTCCAAAGAACCGTTATGAGAAGAGCAAAGAATGAAAACAAAGGGACTGCATTATTAATCCTTTATGTTTTAGGTGGAGGAAGAACATGAAGGAATCAGATCACAAAAGATTCAGAGAAAAAAAAAAAACACAGGGTGAGTCGTAGTGATAAACAGATAAACAGATAAAGCAGGAATTCACAAAGGAAAGCTTGAGAGGAAGCAGAAAGAGAAATCTAATGCAAAGACTCAGCACTATGGAGTCCTTTCCAAGAGATTTTAGTATCACACTCCTGGAACAGAGTGGCCAGACCTGTGTGAAAATGTGTGAGGATTCATTTATCAAAATCTTTACCAGAAAAGGAAAGGTTTCCATGTACTGTGTACACTTTGTATAATATAAAGTCTAAACATGCATAAATATTTCAAAAATAAATGGGTTAGGAATGGAGAAATAATTTAAATTCCTGCGCATACCGTGTCATTCCAGGGTGTTAAGTTATCTTAAGTGTTCTCTGAGGTTCAATCTATATGAACTTACATGAAGCAGTTAAGGCTTTTTTTTCCAGTAGCAAATGGAATACTGCATGTTACATGCACCTCCAGTTTGAAAGCACAAGAGATGGAACAGAATAAACAAGAATTTTTTTTTTTTTTAAGAGGAAGTTTGTTTCTGCATCTTCCCTACCCAGAATTACCTTTATTAAAATGAATCATCTACTTCCTGCTAATGTGGTACTGTTCTAAACATACAAATGTACAGATGATACCTGATCAACAACAAGAACTTCCTCTTTCAAACCAAATTTGTACTTTCCATGTTAAATTAACTCTCAATTTTGTGATGGCAGGAATTTAACAGAGCTGTTCAGGAAGCAAAGGCAACATCCTTCAAAGGTGCTGGACCTGACTAATGTGAGCTGCTGCCTTAACAAAAGCTCATAGCTAAAACCGGAACAGGAGCCTCCATATAAGACTACTGCCAGCAGTATCCTGATCACATGGATGCGTGGCTACAAAGAAAGCTGGAACATAATGGCCTTGCTCAGAAAGGTTCCTGTGAATGTCAGCAATAGATGCATTCATCATATGCTTAAAGTTCCCTAATCCCTATTACAATTTCACAAATATTTTTCATATGGCCATTGAAAGAATTACAGATTCAGTTCATCTGTTACCACTAATCTAAACACACATCACTACATTTGTTTGGTAGGTTGCAGGGCAGCTAATTATAGAAATTTATCTTGCACGCAACTCTTAAGAGCGTGAGGATAGTACATATGTAGTAACATTACTGGTCCTGGAACACTGCTTGTCAACCCACAGCAGGTTCTCCCACGCAGTGATTTGGATGAGAACAGTTTTCACAGCTATTGGAACAACGTTACACAGTCTTTGCACACATAAAGAAAACGTGTGTGTTCTAAGGAATACCTGAAACTGAGGTTTTCCTTTGGAGGCTCTTGTTCTCCAAAGAGAGAGGATGAGAATTGAAAAGGGTCCAGAGGAGGGCCACAAAGATGGTCAGGGGGCTGAAGCACCTCTCCTACAAAGACAGGCTGAGGGAGCTCGGCTCGTTCAGCCTGGAGTAGAGAAAGTTGAGGGGTGATCTCATTGCAACCTCCAGCCTACAAACAGGAGGCAAGCCAATTCTTTACAAGGGTAGATAACAGCAGTACTAGGGGAAATGGTTTTAAGCTGAGAGAGGGACAATTTAGATTGGGTATTAGGGAGAAGTTCTTTACCAAGAGAGTAGTGAGGAGCTGGAACAGGCTGCCCAGGGAGGCTGTGAATGCCCTGTCCCTAGGGGTGTTCAAGGCCTGGTTGGATGGCGTCTAATATTAGATATGGAGGTTGGAGGCCCTGCATGTGGCAGGGGGGTTGGAGTTTGATGATCCTTGAAGTCCCTTCCAACCCAAGCTATTCTATGATTCTATGATATTCTAAAATTTATTAATCTAATAGTTTAGCAGAAAGATTACAAAAAGAGAATGTGTCTGCACTATATAGAATACACCACCTTACCTAAACCCATGTTTCAGATTCTTCTCATTACATAAGGGAGAACCAAACACTGTTTTCCGTAAAGCCAGTTTAACAGGAAACGTTACATCAACAGTGCAATGTGAGCTGCAAAGTGATGCATCAGCAGATGCAAACAGTCTTTCTTACCAACTTCCCACAAGACCATGAAGAAGCAAGCTCTCGTCATAAAGTATGAAGCCCTAACATTTTCAAACTGCTAACAACACTATTTTTTGCATCCTACTTAAGAGTTTCATTAGCAGAGAATTTTAGTTGTCTTCAGATCCAGAATGATTTACACCACTCACTATACATTCCTATCTCCTGTTACCTGTATTAGAAATATTCTAACTAGGAAAACCAAATCCCCAGATGCAGAGAAGAAGCCCAGATTCCGTACCCTGACTGGCTGTGCCCAAGAATGATGATTACTGGTGCAGCAGGGCTGTTTCTGTCAGCCACCTGCAAAGCTCTTTGCAGCTCTGCAGGCTTTCAGCCTTATCAAGTGTCCCATGCTGGTACATAGAGACAACAATGTCTGCTCACACATACCAGCCACGTGGGGAAAATACCCAGCAAAGGCTGTGTTGGCAATCAGAAAGAGGGCAAAGTGCAGGAGAAAGGAGGAGTAAAACTGAAATGGATGGAAAGAACACAGTGCTGCTCTGATACTCACCCAGAACACCCTCCAAGACCAGATAAAGACTACAATTAGTTGTTTTTATGTGCCACCTCGGAGAACAAACAGGAAAAGTGTTCACTGTTCTGCAGCATATTAATAAATAAGAGCAAAAAGCAGAAGAAATGCATCTCCACCACATGCCACATAAAAAAAAGAGAAAGATAAAAATGCCCTTACACTTAAGGGATCCATACTAATTTCAATTATTTTATTGACAGTTTTTTCCATGCTTTGCAGATGCCACATACTTGTTCTTTATATTTAGGGAAAACCCTAAAAGGGAAATTCCAACAAAACAAAACAAAAAAAATTAAAAATTCTTTTGTTCTTTCCCCAGATAGGAACAGAAACATTTTTAGCGTCTCATAATGTATGGCTTGAATGGTATTAACCACAAAAACAAAAGCAGGTCTCCAACACCAAGAAGATGTTTAACCGCAGAAGCAGAACTTCACTCATTTATTTTAATTTGGGCAAAACCCCAAGAGGGTACATCTAAATCAGCCTGTAACTGGCTTCTATCAATTTGTTCTTATACCAGTTTAAAAATAGAACCTGTTTAAAGAAGAGGTGAAATTTCACGTGTACTGAAGGCCAATGCAGCTAAAGAATTTAATATCAACCCTATAATTTGCTTGATTAGAAACCTGGCATTTTCCTTAATGGGAAAAAAAAGGCAGATTTATCCTTTGCTATCTGTGAAATAAATACCAAATCTCCCACTAACTCCTCCAAGGATAAAAACAAGCAGTGTCAAATCCTGATGTCACTACCTTAATTGAATTTTTGCTGGGGCACTTGTGTTTATGTTTCTTAAAGTTTGCAAAGCATTACTGCTATTTTATAACTGTCTGACCACTGATTTTATACTGCACTTGGAGAAAAGGAACCATCAGTAGCATGAATAATGTTATGTTGAAGCAGGAAATTTATGTCCCACTTTTCCAAATATTTCTGGTTCTTTTGAAGGCTTCCTACCTAGTTAGAAAACAGCTGATGGTCTAATGCAGAGGTCTGTAACACATTTCAGATGTTGTCTGTGTTACCTGTAGCATAATCAGCTCCAAAATAATCTATTCATAGAGAGACAGATGATGTTACTTACAAATACAGAAGCTCAAGGATGCAGATATCAGGCTGATGAGAATCATACACATTTGTCAGCTTCTGTAATTGCACACAGTGAGATTCTGTACATTTGTCCCACGGGATGGCACACAGCAAATCAGGTGCTTCCAGAAATCTCAGTCTAATATTCCATCTACAGTAATACCCATACGGAATAATGCTACACCATTTAACAATGAGAATCTCTCTCTTTGATAAGGATTTTCAAATTGTTGATTTAATATGACAAATGCCAGGAACTTCTCTAAATTCTTGTATGCCAGGAACTGAAAGTTGTCAGCATGCATTCAGAGTAAAAGTAGTTTCACTAATGTAATCAGGACAATTCAGTTGGTAACAGTCCTAAATGGTCCCAAGACTTACATCTCCTGGTGATCTGGATGAAAGCTATCTTTAAAACGCTGTCATCTGAAGAAAACAGTTCATTAATAGATTTGCTACACATTTCATGATTGGCAAAGTACTGAAAAAAATTACAGCTAAAAGGGGACTGCTGCTGCTACAAAAATAACAGAAATAAACTCCATTTGGAGAAAGGACAACATTCAGGCAATGAATGATTTTCTGATGGGCAGATGCATGTAGCTGGCTCTGCAGTGAGCTAAGAGAAAGATTGCTAATTAGTC